CATGGTCTTAAAATAACTGAGGAGAATTTGCTACCTTTCTATAATATCAAGAAATGGATAGATATTCAAGTCTTCTTGGATAAGGATGAATAAACTGTAGGCCCCATCTCCTGCAGGATTAGGGGAAGGAGACATTAATTTCCTACGCATGAGATTACTGTGTGGTGGATGTCCTCCCCTGGGGTGGGATGGGTGGGTGTTATTGTTTCACAGGGCCCCATTTAAACCAGCTATTTGCTGAACTGAGCTACCCTGTCTAAATATTTGTAAATAAACAAATAACTATTCATAAATAAATCAATAAATAAATAACTTAAGGAAACTAGTAAAAGGTTTTAGCATGAAAAAACTTAGGTCAAACCTGTGGTTTGCCTGAGAATACAACAAAATGACCTGACCAGGTCTCGCAACTAGACCTCTTAAACTGGAGTGCAGCACACCAACTGTACAGCCACTTGAAGGAAACTTGACTACAGATCTTAAGGATGCACCCAAACGTTTGATGATGTGCTGCCCCAAAAATACATTTTTAATGTAACAATTGTTTACTATTTATTGTTTTACTGTCCAAATTACAGGTGATCACCTAGGTGAACATTTTATTTACTGGTTTTTACAAATTTTGCAAGTTTTTGCTGTTTTTGTTAGTTGTCATAGATCCATACAAACAAGTTCCTTCATCTCATGCTACTTAACAAAAGTAAACACCACAGCGTACACTATTGAGTTATGGCTGCATGCGGGAGGTTGCTAAGCACGAAAGAAGCGTAAGAGTCACACGAGGCAATAGCCAAGAGTGACTCTAGCATCTTGAGTGCTTAGCAAACCTCCCAAGTGCATCCATAACTCGATAGTGTATGCTGTGGTGTTTACCATTTGTTTTATAACATAACATTGATACACTGTAGCTAAAGAGTTCTCTTTTATTTAACAAATCTTACGTGACCAGAAAAAACAAGCGTGTGCGAAAAAATAGTCTTTGCATTTGCTCATGTCAGCAGCATACACCCATGGGCAAATGGGGGATGCTAAATTGACCAATCAGACCACGCGCTTTACTTTGGTTATGTTATAAAAGAACATTGTATGAGAAAACACAATTGAACCTCAATTATATGGATGCATGGGGGCTGGGCTTAATAGTCTGGATAATCAAGAGTCTAGATAATGGAAAATATAAATATAAATATTCCTAGATAATGGGACCAGTGAAGCAAGCCCAGAGAATTGAAAAATCTGGATACCATAATCATTAGAATTAGAGGCTGGAGTGGTGCTATACTCAATAAGGGTGCTTATTAGAATAGGGGCACTTAGTCAAAGAAAAATTTGAGGGGCGTGGTTATCAGAAAGGGGGCACTTATTGGAAGGAAGGCACCTATCCAAATTATTATGATAATCAAAGTCTAGATAGTCGAGGTTTGCCTGTACCACCAACCTGCTTCAACATATCAGCTTCTGCTGCACATACTCCAAATGCGTCAAAGGGTCTCCTTCCGGACATGGGTGGTGGCCTGTCTTTCGGTTCCAACTTCTCATAGTAAGAACTCATCCCTGTGCCACTTGCGCTGCTAATTTTTCTTAGGGTTGGCTGACCATAGAAGTTCTCATCATCTTCAAAATCGAAGGGATAGACTTTAGAAACATTCAAGTTCATGTTGCTGCTGTTACTGGCACTGAGCTCTGGATCAGTGCTGAAGTCAGCCTGAAGCTGTTCAAGGTTCCTAACTGGATTCAATTCAGATGACTGGGTGTAGTGCTGCACGACATTGTGACAGTAAATGCACACTCGTAAAAATCCTGACAGAAAGGACAAAAAAATATTATTCCAAGACTGAAGAGCCAAGTGAAGATAATTAGAGGCCAAGCTACTCAAAATATTGGCCACTGTGTATTTCTCTATTTCTTCGGTGATTTTGTAAGGTCTTGAATATGAAAGCCAGCTTTGCAGTAATGAACACTACTTAAGCTGTAGTTAAAAATGCTGGTCAGCTTCCAGTTGGCTTGTTAGCTCAGTTACCAGTGCACTCGGTTGTAAGGACGGTTTTGCCCACCTGGTTTAACAAACTGGAGGAAGGTTTATCTTATAAAGAAGTTTAGTTCAAAAAGTTTTGCCCGTCTGTGAAAACCAGTTGCCCTCCTGTTGAAAACATTGATGAAACCCCTGCATAATTATGGTTTTCATAATAATTATACATGTACTAGTTAACATTCATTTGAAAGGTTTTGTTGAATTTGCTAAAAAGGTCAGCAGGGCTCGACACTAACTTTTCAACTTACTAGCCAAGTGGCTAGTGACAAGTTAGATGTTACAACAATTTCAGTTTGTTGTACTAGCCACACTGGCTAGTGAAAACTAGCAATAGTGAAAATCAGACCTGAAAAAAATTCAGGCCTGCACGGGAATCATACCACTGACCTCTGCGATACTAGTGCAGCGCTCTACCAATTGAGCTAACAAGCCAACTGGGAGCAGGCCATCAAATGAATTCGACATAAACCCGTAGATGATAAATCAAAATTGCTTACCATTGCTTAAATAGTGCTTTACTGCGAAGGATCGTGCACATATACGCTTCATAACCGCAGTTCATATATATGTATTTCATATGTTT